AGCTACTGTGGATCCAATTTAAGAATAAAGAATAAAGAGATACAACAATGAGCTGTTTTTCTCAGCTCAGATTAGATTTAGATAGTTGCACATGTCATTAGGAGAACTTGGACGGACCAGAGGAACCTATTTTTTTGTTGTTAGGTTATTATTTTTTTTTAAAGTTACCCACTGTGGCTTGAAGTCAAGGATTCCAATTTGTCCGAGCCGCACCTGAAGGCATCAGAGAGGCGTTTACTTGTTCTGTGTGAGCTCCGAGAGGCTGCAGCTCCTCCTGTGAGTGTGTGCTTTTACTTTGAGTGAATTGTTTCTGAAGTCCAGCTGAAGATCTCCGCACATCATCGAGCTGACAACAAGAGGAAAGGAGTTTAAAAAAGGAAACTAAACCCACTGAAATCCTCCTGGGAGAAGACAACCCGACATTAAACCAAACATATTTCCAGGTAAAGTCTTAATTAGTTAGTTGAAGCTAATTTTAGCACTTTGCATCTCGAGTGACCTAAAGTCTGCCAGGAAACTTCTCTTTGGAGCCGCTATTAAAGGCTCTGCTTTCTCCAGAGAAGTTCAATAGAGTTTAATTAATTGCACGGTTCAAGTTTGTAGAGATTGAAAGTGCACGTAGAAACGAGTTATTTGACGTTTGTTGGTATCTGTGGATAATAAAACATCCCGTTAGTATAGAACAGGAACTATTTCAGTAATATTGGACATCAGTTGTTCACAGTTTCATTTCCTCGCCTTTCACATAACATTAAAAAAAGGTTTGAAAAAAAATATCGCCATCTTTCAAGTTAGCATGCGTAAACAGATACACTTCCGGCAACAACCTTCAAAATAAAGTATCACTCTTTGATGTGTGAGGTGAAGGGTTTGCTGAATCCTGCCGTAAAATAATAATAAAAACCTTTGTGATTTTACTAGTTAACAGTAAAGTCTTGATATTTCCTTACAGTCACACACAGAGTGTATGGTTGAATGGGGAATCCATGATGAAGAGACAGGACAATGCTTCCCAAGCTCTTATTTTGCATCTGAATTGTGATTACTCATGTAATGATCCTTAATAGGAGTTTGGTGTAGCGACGAGTCAATGAAATCACATGTTAAAAGGCTGATTAGAGGCAGCTTTAATCTAAACATTTGACAATTTCCCTAATACTGTGCTCTCTTTTCCGTTACATACATTGCACTTTTACTTTGAAGGCAAAGTTTCCCGATTTCCGGTGTGATTTTTGACTAACTCTGGGTGGCTTCACACATCTCAAAAGCGCTTTAAGATTTTCTATAAAATAAGTCTTTAAAGTCATTTCTTTAGCAAAGTTAGACAAGTAGACAGTTTATCAGAGCTTCAGCTGTTTGCCTCAGACATGTTCAATGTTGTTCATGTCACACATCATCTGAAATGCCCACATGTGATATATTTTAACGAGCTGTTGTTCAGTTGTCATAGATCTGCTGTGGCATATCTGTTGGTGCCCACATTAAACACCACACCCATGTTTGGCTGGTTTGCCTCAGTTCTTGCGACATAGTCAAAAATCCTCTTTAAAGATTCAGTTGAATTCACCTATCAGCTGTTTTCACACCAAGAAGCAGTGTATGCACACACTGAATGGATGTAAAAGTGAGGTGGACATGTAAAGAGAGCATATTTACTCTGGGAAAGAGACAGAATGGAAGAAGTTAATCTGGAAAAGCTGCAGACAGTCAGAAAGAGGAGTAAACTGCAGTTGTTGTTGACAGCTGATTGATGTGAACAGGTGACTTCAGTGGCTGCCTGTCTTCTCTTCCCTTACACACCTCTTAAATTATGTTCTGTTTCTTATTTCAAAACCCCAGTAATCAGGGGTTTCAGCATTATTTTGGGGCTGCAGTCGCGGTTATTTTCACTTATTATCTATGTCTGCTGATAAGTAACTAGATTTACAGTACAGAAATTATGTTAAAGGTGATTTGGAAACATTACATAGTTTAATGCATGCATGGTCTGTAGTATTGCAACAGTTCCTTACATAAAGAAAATAGTTTCTTTATGTTGTATGTTCATATAAAACAAATAAATATTGCCCTAGATATTGTTAGCAAATCTTTAAAGTATTAAATATTGATCGATTTTTGATTTTCAGTTCACAATAATGTAAAGAAGAAAGTCTTTACATCTGAGAAACTGTAACCATGTGTTACGTTTTTGCTGTATGATAATTGACTTATAGTTTAATTGTTTTTGAATAACTAACTAACTAATGGAGTACACATCTAACTTATGATTTCAGCAGCAGATGTTTTCATTAATAAATTAGTAGGTCGACAGGAAATAATATTTCAAAATAGTTTGTCATTCATCAAGAGAAACTCAGCTTCTCAGTGAGTATTTACTGCTTTTCTCTCTTTTCTGACATTTTAAATAGAATATATTTTACTCTTTTCTGACATTTCATAGACTAAACAATTAATTGATTAATCAACAAATATATAGTCAAGTAAGAAATGAACCTCTATGGACCTTTCCTGTACTGTAGCATTACGTATATCCTGACCACCTCTCATTATGTAATAACAGGGATCTCTCCGCCTTAAGAGCTCTCTTTCTTGAACCGCAACCTGATTATTCTGAGTGGTCACAACTC